CAAATCAACATTTGGAAGCAGATGTTCTTGATACCAGGGCTGTCCAACCACTTTACTTTTCTGAAAAACCTTTCCTATGGTCTGTAGCTACCTTCTACACTGCAGCTGTAGACTCATTTTTATAAATGGATATGTTATAACAAACTATGTCCTTCCAACTCTCTCAGATTCTGGTTGAATCTCATCCTAAGTAGTTTCTTTGTGAAATTGTTATTTCCTGCCTACATTTCTGAAGCTCCTGACTTTACGGTGATTCTTCTCCCCCATGTGCCCCATGTTGCAGCCACTGACATTTAAAAGCACATCTATGACAGCACAGGCACACTGTCATCTAACTACTTAGCATATTTTACCAGCCCTCTCTCCTTTTGCTCTGATTTCAAACATGGCTTGTAGTACTCTTCATGACTTAGTCCCTGTGTGTATTTATATGTATTTACTATACTAGTATATAAAATAGTATGCATTTATATACAAGTAGTATATAATAGTACATATTTATATACAAGTATATATAAACAGCATGAATATTTATATAATAATAAATATATATACATTTATATATTAATAATATATACTATTTATGCAATCTATGAAAAAAACAAGATTCAGCTCTTATTTCTCCCCCAGTTTTCACCAGCATTTGTGTGCACACACACCTTGCACACATAAATATACACCCATATTCCATTTTTTGGTCCATTCTTAACTATATTTACATCTCTGAAATTACCATATTCTCTGGAGTACAGACCTTTATTTGTGGCTTCCTTTGCTTGATAATTCTTTCTCCCTTATTCCCTCTGGCTTGACAATACTATTTATTCTTCGCAGTCATCTTTAGAAACCCCTTTCTTGCATTCCCAACACTAATAAGGTGACCCCCCTTCCTGCTTTTCCAGCACCCTGCACTTGCCTTTCTCATGAAATGCACCCTCCTTTACTACCTGAACATCCATCCTTCCATACCACTCATAAGATTAACCAGCTCCAAGAGAACAAATGTGGAGTTATTATTCTTGGTATGGCACATAAGTGCTCCCTAACCACTTGTTGAGTAAACAAAGAGCTTCCAATTACTGTTATGTGAGTTTATTACTGTGCCCCAAATCTAACTTGATCACGTGTCTTTGCTTGCAGCTTGCCTGGCTATGACAGAGAGATGAAGGTGAGAGCTTTGTTTGCCTAACATGAAAATTGGTAAAGTTTTAGTTGTTTTTCTCAAAGTGGCATCTAATTTTGCTGAGTTATCTCAAAACTTTATCAGCCTTCTCTCCTTTTGCTCTAAATTCAAACATGGCTTACAGTACTCTTTACAACTTGTTCCCTGTAGTATGTATTTTCATACTAGTATATAAAATAGTATGCATTTATAAACAAGTAGTATATAAGTAGTACAAATTTATATACAAGTAGTATATAAATAATATAAATGTTGATATACTAATAAATAAATTTATATACATTTATCTACTGCTAGAGCTTCAGAGTACTTTATCTTGTCAGAAATTGGACCTCATTATGAACATAGATATTTCGCCCTGAAATATAATGAGTACCTTTTAGAATGACTGCTCAGTGGAGACAACTGGATCTCTTTGTCAGGTGTGCCTCTCTTGAAAAATGTATTATGTAAGTGTGTTAGGAGGCAACCCCAACCCCCTTCTGAATTTTGAAATTTGTTTCCTGTGGTATTTTCTTGTGTCTCTTTGTGCCTTTGCTTACCATCCCTGAAGGGTAAGGAGTAAATTGCCTGACTAGTAAATTTGGAAAGAATGACTGCGATGCTTGACGCAGCTCTAGCTGTCTGACTCTTGGGGATGAGCTGCTCACAGGAAAAAAAGACTCACAGGAAACCAGCTCTGCTTTTCATAAGGTCACCATCTACCTCTGGGTTGGCTTGTGTTAGAAGTTGGTCAAACTCGGAAACTCTATACTGGGAAGCCTGTAAGATGTCATGGCAAGCCATGTCCTCCAATTTGGTCTTCAAATAGAGGGTATGCTTTGATTTTCCATCTTCTATTTATCTTATTTCTCAATTTGTTAAAACTCTAAATGACATATTAGAGTCCCCCAGTAGAATATAATTTTTAAAAAACACTTGGAGACTCCACTGATCCTGCTCCTAAGCGGCACTCTGCTTAAATCAATGTCTTCTCATCATAAACTCACACATGAACAGACTCTGGACTTTGTGTGTCCTGGGATTGATTCAAGCTTCAACAGAAGGCAAAAATTTGGCTTACGGTCATGAAAAAAGAAGGATCTATTTTCATCAACTCCAGCTACTGCTGGCTTGCTTGATACCAGACTCTGCCTTAATGTGAACTCCTTTTTTGTGTACCTGGTGCATGAATACTTAACCGGGTTCTAACTCAGTGCTCTGCCTGTCTTGCCAATCCCTTGGCGTGTGCTGTGTCTGGACCGCTTCCATGTTTGCTACAAACATGTGTTCTGAGTACTTTTCTGGTCCTCCTGAGGCTGAGTTTTCTACATAATCTGCATTCCGTCACTCCCACACACCTGGCATAGTAAAATTGGAGACATCAGCTGTTATGTTGCTTTTTATAAAAGACAGTTTTGCTAAGAGAGAAATACTAGGGACCTCACCTCCAGAAAAGTGTAGTTTGAATTATACTCCAATCCTTACTAGTTCCATGGCCTTGAACACTAGTAATGGCAGCAACAGATTATCGACTGCTTGCTCTGGGCATTTACTAAGATATACTACTTCTAATAACTCTCAACTAATTATATCAGCCTTGCAAGGTACAGTTGCAATTACATTTTAAAAATAAGGTAGCCAAAGAGGCCATGGATCACACACAATTGCTTCACACATAATAGGTGTTTTTTTTTTTAAAAAAAAGACTAAACCTCTTTCTTTCTTACTTTAATTTTATTTTTATGATAGTTTTACATTTTCAAGGTTCTGAAATCATAATGATAAATAATATGTTCCCCAAGCAGTTTTGGTCTCTCTCCTGCCTTTTTTTACCTGAACAAAAGAATTTTTTATAATTTTTGTTTGCCCTTATACTATTTATTTAGGCAAATATAATAGCACATGTGCACTTAAGCATGCTTACCTTTTTTCCTAATGTGTTCTCTGTAAAACATATGCTGTTCAGATGCTGAAATCTAAAATCTTTGTGTCTATCTTGCTTCCTCTAATGACTTACACCCAACGTATAATCCATGAAAAATCTTATCTACCTTCAAGATGTAAAGAATATGGCCATTTGTCATCTTTTCCACTCTACTTCATGTCACTATCATCTCTAAACTGGATTATTGCAATAACAACCTTACTGGTCCCCATGCCGTCTTGCCTGGCCCTCTACAGTGTGTTCCCACAGTAGTCAGAATAACTCTTTTAAACTAAGTCTGATGATGTCACTCTACTCCTAAACCTAACTGTAGAAAGTGTTCCATTAAAATCTGAAGTTATACTGGTATTTCTGTTATCTATTGATATATGATACAATTAGTGCCTTAAAATAGCAAATACACATTTATTCATGAGTCTCTAATTTAGAGTGGGTTGAACCTGTTAATCTGTAGGATTCGACCGACTTCACTCATGAGGCTACCTGGAGCCTTTCAGCTAGATGCAATTGGCACAGATTAGTCATATATGAGTATTATTCATATATGAATATTAGTCCCATTCATATATGGCAGTTCTCTGGGGGACTGAGATGTCTTGTTCTTTTTCCCATTTGCTCTCCAGTAGGATCTGCAGTAGGATGACTTCCTTATATGGAAAAGTTTGCTTTTTCATAAGGTATTCCCTTATAAGTAACTTCTTCCCTTAAAATACCTTCTTTCCGAAGAGCAAAACGCGAGAGTGCAAGGCCTTTTGAGCCTGGGCTTTGGCAAACCAGGTCCCAAACTCCAGCTTAGACTCAAGGTTGGTAGGAGGATGCTTCACCTACTGCAC